CATACAATCATTCATTCAACAAATATTTATTGAACATTTATTATATCAGACCCTGTTACAGATGCTGGAGATACAGCTCTCCTTCTAGTTTGGAAGCTAGAGGGAGATTGGCATTAAATGAGTAAGTTAATTTTATAGTATATTAAAAGTTGATAAGTGGTAAGGAGAAAAATAAAGCAGAGAAGAGTAATAGGAAATGCTTAAGGAGGGGGGTCCAATTTTGAATTGAGTGACTGGGGAGGGCCTTGTTGAGAAGATAATTTGTGAGCAAACATTTGAAGGGGGTGAGGGCAGAGCCATGAGACTAAGCAAAGGAAGGGAAAATGTTCTAGGCAAAGGGAACAGCAAGAGGGAGAGGTGCTGGGGACACAGCAAGGAGGCCCATTCAGCGAGAGTGACCTGATCGAGGGAGAGAATGGTTCAGGTGAGTGTCAGAGAGAGCACAGGGTCAGATCCTGGGGGCGTTGTAGGCCATTATAGGTACTTTGTTTCTGAAATGGGAAGTCATTACAGCATTTTAAGCAGCATAGTGGCATGATCTGACTTACATTTTCATGGCAGTGCTTCAGGGAGGGGGTGATGGTGGCTTAGAACAGGGTTGTAATGGTGGACATGGTGTGACATATCAGATTCTGAAGGATTTCCTGATATTAGATGAAGGGTGTGAAAGAAAGAGGAGTTGGGGATAAAACTGAGGTTTTTTAGCTTGAGCAACTGGAAGATGGGATGGCCATCAGCTGAGATGGGACAAGACTGTGGAGCGTTTTCGGGGAAGAGCAGAAGTTCTTTTTTAGTTGTGTTCATTGAGATGCCTTTTAGACGGCTGGAGGGAGATGTCAAGTAGGGAGTTAGCTGTTTGAGTCTGAAGTTTCTGGAGAGGGCCAGCTAGAGATCTCATTTGGGAATTGGGGAACACATGAATAGTATCTAAAACCATGAGATTTGAATGAGTGTAGATAGAAAAGAAATTCAAGGACTGTGTGTTGGAGCATGTCAATGTTAAGAGGTCTTGGAGACGAGGAAGAATAAAGAAAGGAAACTGAAAGGGAGCAGCCAGTGGGCAGGAGGAGAAAAATGTGCTGTCCTGGAATTGGGGTGAAGGGTTCAATGTGTCAAGTGCTGCTGACAAATCAGATAAGAACTAAGTATTGACCATTGCAGTTAGCAACATGGAAGTGAAACAAAGCAGTTTCAGAGAAGCGTGGGGGGCTGGATCAGGATTAGAGCAGTTTAAGAGAAAGGTGGAGAAAAAAGAATTGGAAAGAATAATAGTCTTAGAAGTTCGGCTGTAAATAGGAACAGAGAAATAGAAAGGAAGCTGGAGGAGGAAAGGGAGTCAAAAAGTAGGGTTTTGGGGCTTCCCTGGTGGTGCTGTGGTTGAGAGTCCGCCTGCCGATGCAGGGGACACGGGTTCGTGCCCCGGTCCGGGAGGATCCCACGTGCCGTGGAGCGGCTGGGCCCTTGAGCCATGGCTGCTGAGCCTGCGTGTCCGGAGCCTGTGCTCCGCAACGGGAGAGGCCACAACAGTAAGAGGCCCGCGTATCGCCAAAAAAAAAAAAAAGTAGGGTTTTTTTTTGAAGATGTGAGGTGATTAAAAATGATTCAGTAGAGAGGAATATGCTGATGAAGCAAGAAAGAGAGGGAAAATTTCTGGAGTGATATCTTCAAGTAGGTAAGAAAGGGGATCTAGTGCAGAGGTTGGCCTTAGGATCACAGACAGTTTATCGTATTAAGGGTGGGTCTGATTATGGACACATGCTGATAAGGGGTAGAGTTGGGGGTAGGTGCTAGCAGAGATTTTCCGATTGCTTCAGTTTTCTCAGAGAAACCGGAAGTGAGGCCACTGACTGAGCGCGAGGATGGGAAAAAAACCCTTAGAGGTTGGAGGGGGAATTACAAACAGTCCAGATGAAGGGGAGATGAAGAAACTAATGTAGCAAATGTGATATTCACTCTGGTGATACCTTCTTCCTGATTTTTGTGTTTGCCTTTTTCATCTTTTCCCCTGATAGCTCATGTCCAGCGTAATTCTAGCACGCAGTATATGCTAAATAAATATTTGCTCATTTCAGAGCTGGAATCATATCTACTTGTACCTCAACCATAGCTAGCCTTATATTGTACTCACTGTTCTTAGCACCTACCTGTTTAATCCTCGTAACCGCTCCGTGTATGGCCTTTAGGGCCGTGAGACTAGATGGAATCAACAAGGGGGTGGTGTCAGTGTCTTCAGGATACAGATGATGAAACAGATTGTAAAATGCCCCACAACCTCATAACTTGCCTGACGTTGGTCCGCCATTAGGAGACAGAGCAGAGATGTGAATCTCAGCCTGCGTGACTCTCACACTGTATAACTACTGCCCTGGAGTTCATCTCGTCTTCCCACTTCATCTTTACAATAAGAGAACCGAGGCCCAGGTTGCTTATCACAAACGTCAAAGCTGAGATTGGAACCAAGCCCTCTTCCAGTTCAGTGTCCTTCCCACCACCATCCCCCTCGATCAATCTTATCTTGGGATCCAGTTCCCACGCCCGTTAGCTACACTTAGTGGCAGCTATATTGTAATGGTCCTTAGTAACCAAGCAACTGGTATTTTGATGAGAGGCTCTTGCCTGCACCGACCCAGCCATCCAGGAGAGGGCAGTCCTGTGCGCATAAACGCGCGTGCCCCACCCTAAGCTTCTTCCTGAAGCCAGAGCGCCTGATTCTTCAGAGAATGTTTGCTTAAAACAGTGGTTCTCAAGCAGCAGTTCTGTCCCCCACCTGGCATTTGGCAATGTTTGGAGACATTTTGGGTTGTCATAACTGGAGGAGGGGAGGGAAGAAGCTCCTGGCATCTAATGGGTAGAGGCCAAGGAAGCTGCTAAACATCCGACCAATGCACAGGACAGGCCTCCATCCCTCCCGCCCCTAACAAAGAATTATCTGACCCAAAATGCCAGTTGCTACGTTGAGAGGTTGAAAACCCCTGTCCTAAAGGAAAACCTTTAAATAGTCTGGTATAATGGAACCAGAAAAATAAGTAGATGATGGCTTCGTCATCTATTGAACATCTATTAAAGATGTTCAAACACAAGTAGGCAGTCAAGAATAATTTATGAATTCTGCTTCTGTGCAGAATGCCAAGGGTGTGAAGGCCTGCGTGGATCATGATTTATCCCTTCAGCCGTTCTCTACCTGCTGACTGTCGCCATCAGTGTGCCAAGCTGGGATGTATGTGAATGTGCCCCTGGCAGTACAGGGCAGCCCCAAGGAGAGACGATCCCCCCTTAGCACCCAGGGCTTTTGTACTTACTTGCCTTTTGTCTGTCAAGGAAATCATCCCTCCTGTTCTTTGGAAACGTCGTCCACCCGCCGAACCATGTGTGATGTTGTAGACCTGTTCTTGCAAACTGTAGTCTGGTGACTGGTGACCTTGTGGGGGCATCAGTGTGCATGTTGACTGGCCCCATCGCTTCTGCTATTCCAGGAGTGGCTCTCCAAGTCTCCACTCACCTGATCTACCTACACTTGCTTGTTAAGTTGTGAGGGGTCACCTCGTTTGGGATTGGGAATGCTTTTCTGAAACACACCCATTTTGGAAAAGCATAAGCATTTATCAGCGCCTTACCTGAATCAGAGATTGCTTCCAAGCCAGAATGAGCCCACTGTTCAATAAAATATTAACTTCTCTCTGTAAACCAAGCTGCTGCACTATTTCTCACAATGTGACTCTTGTTCAGCAGAACACAGAGCGTGAGTTACTAAGACCAGCCTTAGTCTGTGGAGTTAGTTTGCTCTACAGCATGATTATCTTCTCCCACTTCCTTTGCACAGACCCTATTGTGAATGTCTAAAGACGCATGAATTATGAACCTAAAAGCAGTTGATAGCTGTGAAAGGAAATATAAAACTATCTTTAAATTTTCTTCAAGTTGTAGGTTTTGCCAAAGACTGAAGTGCCATCTTCTTTCTTACAGTAGTTTATTTAAAATACACAGCAGAGGACATCTAGAGATCAAATGCAGTTGCAGAGCTGGGATTTGGTTTTACTAGATCCAAATGGAATTGAATTGCAGAGCTAATTCAAAGGCTTCTTTAGATGAGAGCAAATAAAGCAGGGTATAACCAGTGAATGGCATTGCATTGCTGGGATTACATCACTGGCCTCGGTTTAATACAGTGTTGTGCTCCTGAAATTTAATAATAATAATAAAAATCGTTATCACTTATGTAGTGATATTTCTTTGGGCCAGCACTGACCAGGTAATCCCACTCTCCTCTCTCTTGAACTACCACCAGCATATGGGTATTATAGATAAGGATACTAAAACTCCAAGAGGCCGAATAACTTGCCCCAAGCTACCCGAAAAGGGGTGAAGCTGAGATTTGAACCTAGAAGCTTAACACTGAGGCCCAGTAGATATTTTAAATGTCCTAGAAGAGTTTGCTCTTGAAATGAAATCTGAAATGAATCCCTTTGAAAAAATGAAGATCCTTGTCTCTTTTATTAAGTCTAAACTTTTGGTGAAGTGAGGTTTTATAACAGAGTCCTAATGGCTTTGTGTGCTTCCATCAACATAAGTTTTGTTTGTACCACTAAGTGTTGTGGCAGAAAAACCATGGGTTTTAGAGTCTAGTGTGTCCAGGTTTATATTCTCCCTCCACCAGTCATGAGCAATGGGACTTTGCAAAAGTCACTTGACTCTTCCAAACCTCAGTTTTCATATCTGTAAAGTGGGGCGAGTGTTAGAGTATAGGTCAAGTGTCTTGCAGATTGCCTGCCAATCAGTCATCATAATTATCCCTGTTAATATTATTCATAAGTTAAATGTGTGTTCTCAATTTTTAGTTTTGCTATGAAGATCTTATATTATGGTGGGTATTTCAAACTTTACTTTGGCATCTGTGTTTTGTGTAATGCCAAAGCCCAGGTATGAGGAAGCATGGCCTGTTGAACCTTCTTCCATACTTAGGAAAACATAGGTATAAAGCATGTTTGTGTTTTAAACTTTAGGAGCTGCACAGGTCATCGAAGGCGGCCAAGTGGAATATAAGCCTCTTTCGGGCATTCGGTATATGTGGTGGTACCATTTAATTGGCCTCATCTGGACTAGTGAATTCATCCTTGCATGCCAGCAAATGACTATAGCTGGGGCAGTGGTTACATGTTATTTCAACAGGTAGGTCTAGCATGTTATTCCTATTGATTTGTCTATGTGCTTCATGGTGTGTATCTCAAAAGATATTTTGAAATTTTGACATGACCTCTCAAAAAGGATTGGTAAGAGTAAAAGACCAAGCTCAAAATTAGGAAGGATATTCATTTGGTAGTAAAAAGAAATGTTATATCTTAAATCTGTCACATTTCCAACCTCTTTTACTTTAAGCTAGAAAATCCAGAAGGAAGCCCAACAGGGAAGTATTTGTACCGCTTAGAATTGAAAGATATCCAAAAGAAAGGGGTTGACTTCTCCTGTAAATATCCATTCTTACTGACTTCAAACTTTAAAAACATTACTGATCTATTTGGAGCACACTTCAGTAAATTCTGCGAGCTTCATTTCATCCTATGCAAAATGAGGAGAATGTTTTCCTGAAAAACAATTTTAAATCCTAAGGGAATTGTACATGACTATAAAATATAATTCATGTTCATATAGTTAAGTGCTAGTGAATTAATTACTTGCTTCTCTGTTCACTATGATACTTATTTAAGTGTTCATCCTCCTTTGCCTCATCAAAATAATTGAGGACACACACACACACACACACACACACACACAATCTGAACCCTTTACCTCTTTTGTGTATGCTACTCTCCGTGAGGCAAAGATAAAGCCACAGGCAAGAAGAACACGGCCAGTAGAATGACAGGGTTGGACTCAGAACAGGAAGTTTACTCCTATGGGGCTGATCCTCCTCTAATCTCTCAGCCTAAATGAGCAGAAAAACATGAGGGTTCGTGGGGGTAAGAAAGTCAACCAGGGATGATTCATGCCATTGAGCAACTACCTCCTGATGATAAGGAGTACTGTGGGTTTTATTACAGAGGTGCTGTTGGGAGCCTCCATCATTAGAGAGCCCATAGAATGCACAAAGGGCTGTAGCCCTTGGCATTGAGAACCTTTGAGCCGTTGGAGGCGGTGATGTGTGCTGCTTACTCCTGAGTAGAGGAGCAGAGATTATTCTAACCAAATTGGCCAGCAGGTCATATCTCTCTGACAGCAGTGATTTTGTGCTATTTTAGTACCACAAAATCAAAGCATTTTCAATGAGAGCTTTTTATTTAAATTCCAGTGAAGTGAATATCTCCCTATCTCTGTGCATTCAGTGGGAGAGGAGGCTGGTTTGAGCCACAAAAACCTAGAGAGGCTCAGGAATTCAAGTGTAAAATGTGCTTCCAAAGATTAGTTTAAAAAGGTCTTCCTAAGGAGCAGTTGGGCCCCAGGGCCCCTCCTTCATACCGGCAGAAGACAAGACGGGAGCTTTGCTCTCTGGAGAAGTCATCAGAGAGGGTCTGGACGTGGGGCATCTGGCACAGCTGAGGCTGGGGCAAGGCTCTGCACTGAAAGAAGGGGGAGCAAGTGAAAGTCTAAATACTGAATAGTGTTCTACCTACTACCAACCCACACTCCACAGCTTAGCCTCCAGGATGTTGACAGCCAGGTTGACATTTCCTTGGCAGGAGATTATCGGATTCTTCTTTGGAGAAATTGTCTAACCCAAAGAAAGGACCTACAGATGGTGCCATGTGGGGGTCCCCCAATGAAATGGCCTGTTTCCCTGACTCTGAACCAGGTCGTGGAACTCACCGGTCAGCAGTCACCCTCATATAGAACCTCTAATTCACTTTTCAGTGCCTCACTCTTAAATGTGAACTGATAACCAGTGATTGTTAAACATTAGAAGGAGCCTCTAGTGAGAGAAAAAGATCAAAATCAAAAAGAACTTAGGGAAAATAGGGACAATGCAGGCAGCAGAAGAAAACTACAACAATGACAACTATAATATCCTCAGAAAGAACCAAGAATTGTTGCTTCCATAAAATAAGAATAAAAAAAAAAGAATATTGAGAAAACAAGAAAGACCTCTTTGTAGTTAAAAATATGATTGCAAAGTGATATTTTTCTATTGAGGGATTAAAATATAAAGCTGAAGAACTCTTTCAGAAGGTAGAACAAAAAGATAAAGAGATGCAAAATGGGAGAAAAAGGATAAAAAATCAGAGGCTAATTTAGGACACCCAACATCTGACTAATATGAGTTCCAGAAATAGAGAACAAAGAAAAAAGAAGGGAAGAAATTATCAAAATTTCCCAGAGCTGGAGGACATGAGTAAAGAGAAGATCCCAGAAGCTTTACAGAGAATAACAGATCACAGGCAAAATATCAAGAACTAGAATGGGTAAAAGACCTATATACTGAAAACTATAAAACTTTGATGAAGGAAATTGAAAATGAAACAAATAAATGGAAAGATATCCTGTGTTCATGGATTGAAAGAATTAATATTGTAAAAATGTCCATACTACCCAAAGCAATCTACAGATTTAATGCAATCCTGATCAAAATACCCATGACATTTTTCACAGAAGTAAAACGAATAATCCTAAAATTTATATGGAACCACAGAAGACCCCGAATAGCCAGAGCAATCTTGAAAAAAAGAACAAAGGTGGAGGTTTCGTACTCCATGACTTCAGACTGTACTGCAAAGCTACAGTATTCAAAACTACAAAGCTACAGTGGCATAAAAACAGACACATAGATCAATGGAACAGAATAGAGAGCCCAGAAATAAACTCATGCACTTATGTTCAATTAATTTATGACAAAGGAGGCAAAAATATACAATGGGGAAAAGAAAGTCTCTTTAATAGTAATGCCAGGAAATGGACAGCTACATGTAAAAGAATGAAATTAGAACATTTTTGCATACTGTATACCAAAATAAACTAAAAAGGATTACAGACCTAAATGTAAGACTGGAAACCATAAAACTCCCAGAAGAAAACAGGCAGAACACTCTTTGACATAAGCCATAGTAATAGTTTTTGGATCTATCGCCTCAAGCAAAGGAAACAAAAGCAAAAATAAACAAATTAAACTTAAATGCTTTTGCACAACAAAGGAAACCATCAGCAAAATGAAAAGACAACCTACTGAATGGGAAATATATTTGTAAATGATATGACCAATAAGGAGTTAACATCCAAAATATATAAATAAGTCATACAACTCAATATCAAAAAAAATAAAGAACCCAATTTAAAAATGGGCAGAAGACCTGAATAGATATTCTTCCAAAGAAGTCATACAGATGGCCAACAGGCACATGAAAAGATGCCCAACATTGTTAATCATCAGAGAAATGCAAATCAAGACCATGAGCGATCACCTCACACCTGTCAGAATGGCTGTAGTCAAAAGGACCACAAATATCCAATGTTGGCAAGGACATGGAGAAAAGGGAACCCAAGTACACTGTTGGTGGGAATGTAAATTGGTGCAGCCACTATGGAGAACAGTATGGAGGTTTCTTAAAAAACTAAAAATAGAACTACCATATGATCCCACAATTCCACTGCTGGGTATACATCCAAAGAAAATGAAAACACTGATTCCAAAAGATATATGCACCCCAGTGTTCAGGCAGCATTATTTACAACAGCCAAGATATTGAAGCTACCTAAGTGTCCATCAGTAGATGAATGGATAAAGAAGATGTGGTATATTTATACAATGGAATATTAGCCATAAAAAAGAATGAGATTTTGCTATTTTGAAACAACATGGGTGGACCTGGAGGGGATTATACTTAGTGAAATAAATTAGAGAAAGACAAATACTATATGTTATCACTTATATGTGGAATCTAAAACATAAAACAAATGAATGACTATAACAAAACAGAAACAGACCTACAGATTTAGAGAAGAAACTAGTGGTTTCCATTTGGGAGAGGGAAGTGGAGAGGGTTAAGGTAGGGATAGGGAATTAAGAGGTACACACTACTATGTATAAGATAAATAAGTTACAAGATATATTGTACAACACAGGGAATACAGCCAATATTTTATAATAACCTTAATGGGGTATAATTTTTAAAAATATTGAATCACTGTGTTGTACACCTGAAACTAATATTGTAAATCAACTGTACTTCAATAAAAAGTAAAGTTAAACTTAAAAAAAAACTAGAATGAGATCTGATGTTCAACAGCAACTCTGAAGCAGGGAGACAGTAGGACAAGGCTGTCAAAATTCTAAGGAAAGATTATTTCCAACCTAGAATTCTAGACCTACTCCTACTATCAGTCAAGGGTAAAGGAGGATAAAGTCCTGTTCAGGCATACAACATCCCAAAAGATTTCCTCCCCACATCCTTTCTCCACTGAAACTAATGAGTAAGCCGGGGAGGAAAACATGAGTTTCAGGAAATGGGCTCCAACACAGTGAAGAAAAGAAGGGAATCCCCAGGAGGGTAGCTAGTCAGCAGGTATAGAGCACAACCAGTCCAAGGAGGAGCTGGAGAGCAGTGGGCTCCGGGAGGGATGTCTCCAAGGAAAAATAAAAAGCAAACTGAGAGAATATCAGATGTGTTGTTTGAATATGTGGAGAAAAAAATTTATACTTTGGTGAAGCATTTGGTGAAGTCCATGGAAAACCAAGCAAATAAAAAATGTGAAACATTATTAACTTAAGGAAAAACCAAAAGTTGTACAGAAAAGGAAATATAATCAGAATACACTGTTTGGATCAGTTGTATTTTTTTTTATGTACTGATTTTATTTATGTACTGATAATGTAAACCCTAAACATTAACTAAAACATAGTGGTGAAAGATTGAAAGTTTTTTCTCTAAGATCAGAAACAAGACAAGAGTGCCCACTCTTACCATTTCTATTCAACACAGTACAGGAAGACCTAGCCAGAGCAATCAGGCAAGAAAAAGGGGGGAAAAATGTATCTAAATCAGAAAAGAAGAAGTAAAATTGCCTTTGTTTGCAGATGATATGATCTTATATATAGAAAATCCTAAAGATTTCATCAGAAAACAGACTAAATCAATGAATTCAGTAAAGTTTCAGGATACAAAATCAGCATACAGAAAATGGGTGCATTTCTATACTCTAACAACAAAATATCTAAAAAAGAAATAAAGAAAACAATCCCATTC